CCTGTCGCTTCTGGCTGGGGCATTATCTGGGGGAAGTGATGGAATCTTCCACCCAAAAGAGTTTAGATCAGGATCTGGGGCATGTTTGGTGCCACGTGTGAATGACCCTCATGATTTAACCAACATTGATGGTCTCTCTGTGCCCAGGGGCCGGGGGACCCTTAACCGTTTAAGACACAGTCCCTACCCTGAGAAGCCGGTGCCTAGAATGGGAGACAGGCAGGGCCTCAGAGTAATACGAGCTACAACAGAGGTGGGGACAGGCAGTGGACGGTTGTAGGGAAGAGGGTCCCCTCACCCGGGTTGGGGGACCAGGAAACCCTTCTGAGAAGAGGGACCAATGTCGAGGAAAAAGTAAGAGTCAGATGGGGGAGGGGAAAGATTTTCCAAACCGAGGGAACAGAACATGCAAGGAATGGAGGCGAGAGAGAGGGGGTGGCTTTGGGGTTCACAGTCCTTGTGGCTGAGGGCGAGGTGGCTTGGGAGCTGGTGCTGGGGTGGGACTGGACAGTGGAGCACTTCGGGTGTCATATAGAACCTGACCTCCCACCCCTGTTAGTAACCAGAACTGAAATCTAAAGAATGAGCACAAGAGCCTCCCCAGATGCTGAACTGAGTGTTTTCATTGAAGCTCAAGGAAACGGGGCAGAAGTCTCTGGGTTTTGCCCCCCACCCCCGGCCCCCACTCAGGTCATGATGTCACCTGCATGGAGTTCAAAGCCCGACACGTGAAAAAGCACCCTCCTGCCCTGGCCAGTGTGGCTCAGTTGGTTGGAGCATCGTCCTGTGCAGGGAAAGGTGGCGGGTCTGGTCAGGGCACATACCTAGGTTTAGGGCTGGATCCCGGCCCTGGTTGGGGCTCTAGCGGGGAGGCAACCAATCCATGTTTCTCTCTCTCTCTTTCTCCTACCCCGCCCCTCTAAAAATCAATGACGATGTCCTCCGTGTGGAAAAAGCCCCCTCAGCCTTCTTTGAACCTCACTGTGACCCAAAGAGGCAGCCGGGCAGGTGTCACTGCCCCACCCTGCCCAGAGGCAGAGCCCAGACCCCTGACCCTGACTCATCTTCCAAGCTCACCAGGGCCTGGTCAGCAGACGGAGTAGAGCCTCACCTGGATAGAGGAGCATCCTAGGACTGCCCCACCCTTCAGGTGCCCCTCCCTCCCCGAAACTGCCACAGGGCTGGGCAGTGACTTGGCACTGGGCTTGGTATATAGCCACTGAGCAGGGCTCTCCGCCCCTAGGAGTGGTGGGGAGGGGCCCCATCCCCCAAAGACGTCCTCCCCACTGCTGCTGTCATCAGGCTTTGGGTGGCAAGGCTGGAAGGCAGGTGAGGCTGGGCTAGGGTGGAGGGAGCTGAGAATCAGGCAGAGGCATTTGGCCTTGGTTGCCATAGGGATAATCACGCTGACACTCTCGTGTGTGTCATGCTTTCCAGTTTCACTGAACATTTCCTAATGATAGCAGCACCCATGAATGGATCCCTAACCCTGAGCAGGTACTGCCCCTGGCAGGTGGGGATTGTTAGCCCCATTTCACAGATGAGGTACCAGAGGCCCAGAGAGGTTAAGTTCTTGTCTAAGATCCACAGCTAGTAAGAGGCAGAATCCTAGGTCTGGCCACAAAGCCGCACTCTCTCCCGACATCACACCTCACATGCATGCGTTCATCCAGCCCTCAGATCTACTGATGTTAAACCCCAGCTTCACCCCCACTCTATGCTCAGGCTTCTGCAAGAGGGAGATTAGGGCCAGGAAAACCTGTCCTGATTGGCAAGGAATTTCCCCAAATCTCAGACATTGCTGGGCCCTGGACAGCAGTGTTTTCCTGGAGTTTATTTTGGGGTGAGGAGGTGGCCCAGGTCAGTCGGCCCACCAGGGCACTGTTATACTGTTTTGTGTGGCTGCCTTTACTGCCAGCCTGTGGGTGACTCAGCCTCTTGAAGTCCCACGGGTCCCAAGCCCAGAGTCCTTTGGGGACCCTGAACAGTGGGCCACAGCCCCAAAGACCCCAGAAGCACAGAGATGGCCAGACCGGCCCTCCTTTGGCTCAGGATGTCATGTCCAATTGACTGCTTGGCTGCACAAATGGGAAAAGAAGGAAAATGATGGAGCAGGGGAGAGAGGAAGGAAGGAAGGAAGGAAGGAAGGAAGGAAGGAAGGAAGGAAGGAAGGAAGGAAGGCTGACTCAATAAGGAAAGGAAAGAAATGAATTAAGGAACAAATGGTTGCATGCATGAGTGAATACAGCGCATGACCTGAGTTCAGGGTCAGCAGACAGGTGATTACCCTCCTGCTTCCATCTGCTCCATTTTCTGACACCCCCACCCCCATCCTCCCTGAGGCCTGGAGTCCCCTTCTGTTCCAGCTGAGTCTCTGCTGCCCCCGTGTGGTGGCTCTGCACCGTCATCACCTGCTCTGCTTGGCGTTCCTGGCTTGGGGTGTGGGGTGTTTATGGATGAATGAAGGGGAGGGAAAGTGGGTGCCAGGGCCGTGGAACTTCGGAGTCCAGTCCTGCCCTTCAAATGACTTGGCTGGGGACACAGGCCCTTGGCTCCTCACACCTCCCCGTGTACCTTCCCTCCCTTTCATCCCAAACACCAAATCCCAAGAGGAGGAACTCCACCCAAAGCCGCGACCTCACGTTTACTGAGCACCTACTGTGGGCCAGACACTTGGCATGTGTCATTGTATTCCATCCAATGAAATGTATAATTCTTATACTCTGACAATCGAGGAAACTGAGGCCCAAAGATCCCACAGCTGGTAAGTGGAGGAGCTTGGGTTCTAACCCAGGCAATGGGGCTCTAGAGCCTCCAGACACAGAAGCCCCAGAAGTCAGAGTATGGGGGGCCGTTAGAGACTTTTATCCAGTGTGCTCATTCTTGGGAAGGGGCTCAAGAGGAAGGGACTTATCACACAGCAAGTAAGCAGCAGACACAGGTGTGTGGCAGCCAGAACCCCAAAGGGCCTCTTCTCTCTAGTTTTCTTCTGTCGGGCTCCCCAAGACCAGCTCAGCCTCAGTGGCCATTTGACTGGAGCCCAGGGCCGGGGACGCAGCCCTCTGCCCCTGCCTCCTCTCCTGCCTCACCATTATGGACCCTTCTGGTCGGGGGAGAAGGTTGATTATGAGGTGGGAGAAGGTGGGGAGCGAGGGAGCCCCGTGACCCAGTCTTGGTGTTTATGTAGCCATTTGGATCGTCCCTTCCGGTGTCTGCCGTCCCAGACGACCGCAGGCAGGAGAGAGGAAGGAAAGTCGGAGCTGCAGGCACTGTGGGCGATAAACTGGCTGGTCCTGTTCCTCCCACATGCGGGCCTGCTTGGCCAGAGCTGCTGGTCAGGTCCGCAACCTCCACACCTGTCCTCTTGGGTGGGGCTCAGTCTACCGCTGAAGGCTCCCTGACCGAGGGGGCCTGGGACCTTCCAGGCAGGCCCATAAGCCCGGGGTTGGAGGAAGGGGGAAGAGGCAGAAAGAGATGGGAGCAGCTGGGTCTGGGCCCTGTTGAATGAACTTAAAGGCAGCCGGGACCTCCCCTCACGAAGCCAGAGCAGCCTGCTGATGTCCCTCGTTTCCAAAGCTACTTGGAGGGCTCCCCTTCCTGCCTCCCTCCTTCTGACTTGCTTCTGCCCAGGACTTGTCTGTGGCTCCCCACTGCCAGCAGGACAAGGACCTTCGGTCTCCACCCAGACACAAAGTCTCCTCAGCTCAGCCACACCTGGTCTCTGTCCCTAGACACAGTCCACCTGTGTGCGGGCAGTTCCCCTGCCTGGAGGCTCCTCTCCCTCCTCCACGTGTCCAGTCTGCCTGCCCTGCAGAGCCAGGGCTCATGTTTCCATGGCCTCTGAGCTTTCCCTGGCGTCAGCCTTCACAGGCTCCTGCAACAGCCTGGCTGGTTGGTTACCTGCCTCCCCTGTGCTGGGAGGGGGTTCCACAGAAGCTCTTCACAGTCAGGCCTTAGAGTGGGCAGCCCCCCGGGGGGTGCTGGGAATGTCCACCCAGATCCTCCTCCTCCCATGCTTGCTGTGATCTCTCAGGGGAGGTCCGGGGAGGGGGAAACCGTACAGCCTGGGATCCAGAGGGGCTTCTGTTTCCCCTCAGCCCCACTCTTCAGGAGCTGGGGGCAGTGCTGCCTAGTGGTTAAGAGCATGAGCTCTGGAGCCTGAGCTGGAATCTCAGCTCTAAGCCTTTTCGGCTGTGTGATCTTGGGCTAGTTACCTAACCTCTCTGAGCTTCAGTTTCCATATCTACAAAAAGGAGATGACATAGTACCTACCTCTAAGTGCTGGAGTTGCAGGCTGCACACCAGCATTCACTGACTCGTACAGCCCTTCTGCCCCCAGACCTTTCCTCTGGGTCTCTTCACGCCCATCTTCCCCTAAAGCCGTGGTTCTCAACCTTCCTAATGCCGCGACCCTTTAATACAGTTCCTCAGGTTGTGGTGACCCCCAACCATAAAATTATTTTCGTTGCTACTTCATAACTGTAATTTTGCTACTGTTATGAATCATAATGTAAATATCTGATATGCAGGATGGTCTTAGGTGACCCCTGTGAAAGGGTCGTTCGACCCCCAAAGGGGTCGCGACCTACAGGTTGAGAACCACTGCCCTAAAGGCTTTAGCAAGGTTGACATATCAGCCAAGTTTTTGTCCACCCCTGCTCCTGCTCCTGCCCTTTTCCATATGCTCTTCCCTCTGCCAGGAATGCTTTTTGGGCCTTATCCACCCTTTTTGGCTTTATGCTACTTCTTGCCCTGAAGGCTCAGTTTGGCACCACCACCGGGAAGCCTTCCTTGATAGTCCCCACTGCCATCCTCCCCACCAGGCCTGGCTCATGGCCCCTTGAGTTTCCCAAGCAGTATGATGGCATTGGTCCTAGTCATGGTCTCCCTAACCAGATTGGGGCCACCCCTCCCTGCCCCTCCCCCAGCTCTGGGCACCCTGCAGCAGGGACAGCATGGGCCCAGGCCTGAGTCCCTGGTTCCTAAAGCAGAGATGAAGGTGTTTGGGCCGAGCAGGGCTCCTGGAAGCCCCCTCCTTCCTGCCCCAGCTTTATTTTGGTTCTAGAATCATTCCAGTCAGCATACCCAGTCCCCACCAGGCCCATCCCAGTGCACAGTCAACACGTCATGCAGTTAGAGGGAAGGGAAGAGAGGGGAGCGGGAAGCATGGCCTGCACTGCACAGCCCTGGGGTAGGAAGAGGCTGGGCTCTCCCCGGCTGCAGAGGCTCGCCCGCTGTGTGTCCCCGGACCCTATGCTGGCCTGGGCCGTGCAGACCTCCTGGTGCCGGGCCCTGGCTGTGTCACATGGGGAGAGCCACAGTCCTGCCTCTAGCCCCCATGCTACCCTGGGCCTCCCACTGTGGTCCAGCCACCCTCTCCTGCCACGTCATTGGGGTAACCAGTGGGCCTGGGTGTCCATGGCTCACCAGGGCCAGAGGCAGCCAGCCCAAGAGCCCATGTGCTCCCTATGGATTGCCACATGGAGTAGATATTGCCCCCCCGCCCCTCATCCCTTTGAACCAGCAGGGACACCCAGCCCTCAGCTATGAGAGGTGCACGGCTGCCTGTGGAGGATGGAAGCCGCCTCGGCCAGTGACCCTTCCTCCCGCTGGGGGTGGGGCAGAAGCCAAAGATGATGCCTGTGGGGGTGACAGCCAAGCCCCTTTCCTTTGGAGCAGGACCCCTCTGGGTGCCATTCACACTCCGAGCTTCCCCAAGCCGTCAGGCCGAGGCTAGACTCTGGAAGCCACAGCTTGCTTGCTGCCCCAGCTCCCTCTCTCCCCGACTGGTTTCTCCTGAGGGCTGTCCCCTGACACCCCGTGCCCTTGAAGCCTCATCTCAGGGTCCTGCTTTGGGAACGTGCCCTAGGAGCCACCGCCTTCCCAGTCTCACAGTCCGTCCTGACCCCTCTTAACTGTCCTTCGATGCCACTGCTCAGACTGCCCCTCCCTCCAAGGCCCAGCCCAAGGGTCTCCTGCTCCATCCACCGTGTCCTCTCAGGGGCCTGCAGCCCCCAAAGGCCTCACCCACAGATCCCCTGCCGTCTGTATTCTGGCCGCCCACTGTCCCCCAGTCCCCCCCAAGGCTGCGACATCTCTGCCCAACAGGGCCTGGCCTGGAAGGACTCCAGCAAATGCCGTGGAGCCAAGGCCTGGTGTGCGTGGGACTAAACACAGGGCCTGGGTCCGGGCCTCTGCGGACCTCTGGGTCTCCTAAGGGTCATGGTTCAAGGGAGTAGGTTTCAGAGGATGATGCCAGAGCCAGTGTCCCATGTGGCCTGCGGGGCTCTGTTCGGCCTGGTCTCTTGGTCTCTTCTCCTGCCCGGAGAGGCCCTTGTGTCCACCACAGTGGGCTGAGGACTGTGTGCAGAGAAGCCCACGTCCCTAATGCTCAGGCTGGGCCGCCTGCCTGGGTCACTCTCAGTTCTTTTCCTTGTCCCTCAAACCATAGCTCCCATGTTGTCCCGCAGTCCCCGTACCCTCGCCCCCCCACCCCCCTGAGCCCTGCCTGGCTGAGCCACCATTCACACTGAGCAGATCACCAGGACAGAGGCTCTTGTCTTCCTGGCGTCTTAGAGGTCTGTGTCTTGTTCATGTCACGCCTGCTGGTGCCTGCACAGCGCCCGGCCCCCAAGACCTGCTCTGTTCTAGTGCATGGCCAGCGTGGTGCTGGCCGCCCAGCCAGGGTGGGATATGAGGAGCTCTGAGGCCAAGGTCACTCCAGGCCGAGGGGCAGACCGGTTGGGGAATCTCAAAATGGGAGAACAATGGGTCAGTGTCCGGCTACAGCTGGTCCTCATGGGAGAAACTCTGGCTCTTTCTCCACTGCAGTCTAGATCGAGGGACCGAGTTGGCTCATGGGGAGTCCACCGGGGGACCCCAGCATTCATGGCTCCAGCTGGACAATGGAGAAGGGTGTCACCCCTGAGCTTGCGCCAGGCTCCAGGCAGCTCAAGTGCCCCTCCTGGCCTTCCTTGCCCCAGCTGCTAGTTTCGCCGGACGGGGTGCCACATGGACACAGGCCTGCGCAGCGTGGCCAGCATCTGGTTCCAGTGTGTGGTGCCCATGCCACTAGCTGACGGCCCGATGATGACATGGCCTATGTTGTCCCCATGGCCATCACTGCTGCTCTCAGCCACCGTCACGCGGAGAGACAGGTCCTGAGGAAGAAATGACGTGAGTGCTGGGGACCAGGGGCAGTGCCAGAGGTCCTCCACGGCTCCTGGGCCCCAGCGGGGTGCCAGGCACGGCTCTCTACATCCTCATCTCTGATCTGCCTAAGCCCACAGGCTTCTGTTGCTGCCTCCCTCCCTCCGCAGCGGCAGCACCAGGGGGCCCAGGTGCAGATGCCGCCTCACCACTTCCTTGCTGCATGACCTTGGACAGTGACTTGGGCTCAGTTTTCCCATCTGTAAAATGGTGATCATAGTAGTTCCTACCTGTTCTTGGAACAAAATGAGTTAGAATGTAAGGTACTTAGGAAGGTGCCCATGCAGTCAGGCGTCAGAATGCCTGCTGTTCCTCCTAATATAATCACAGGTTGGACACAACTGAGGAAGGGAAAGAAACTGCTTGAGATCAAGTAGTCAAGCTGAAACTAGAGCCCAGCCAGAGCTTCCCAAGAAGTCCCTGGCCCTTGGAGGCTGTGGCATGGTGGCACTATGACCACCCAGGGGGAAGCAGGGCCAGATGGGCACCCTGTCCCAGGAGGGTGGCAAGGCAAGGCAGCAACACCCAGGACCACCCAGAGATGCTGGGATGTTTGCCTGGGTCAGGAACACCCAGACTGAGGCAGAACTCTGGGCTCTCAAATTTAGACAGGGTGTCCTGGAGGGGAGGTTAAGTGGGTTTCTGTGCAGCCCCAGGGCTAAGAGGTAGCTTTGGCCCTGACTGGTTTGGCTCAGTGGATAGAGCGTCGGCCTGCGACTGGGGGGTCCCAGGTTCGATTCCAGTCAAGGGCATGTGCCTTGGTTGCGGGCACATCCCCAGTGGGGAATGTTCAGGAGGCAGCTGATCGATGTTTCTCTCTCATCGATGTTTCTAGCTCTCTATCCTTCTCCCTTCCTCTCTGTAAAAAATCAATAAAATATATATTAAAAAAAAAAGAGGTAGCTTCAGTTCCTAGCACAAAAGGACATTCTCACGGTCAGGAATGCCCCAGGATGGAAGGTGGTAGTGAGGGGAGGTGGTGAGTTCCCCATGCTCTGAGGAATGCAAACAGGACCACTGGCGTGGCCCAGGTCCTATCTTCTGCAGTCTCCCCGCCGTTGGTCTGTGATATCTCTGCTGGTAGGGGGTGACCTCCTGAAGGCCACAGGGGTGTGGGGAGCTCAGCAGAGCCTCTGCAGGTAGAACCTCGGGAGATTTCGGGCAGAACTCTGCCCTTGGGCCTGCCCTGGCTCATCTCCAGGTCTCTGCAGTTTCCTCCACCGGGAACTGTCTTCCCCCAGACTTCAGCTTAGCTAAGCCCTCCTGCAGAAGGTGGCCCTGACCGCCCACAGCTGGCATGCTCTTAGTGGATGAGGACTGCTTAGGGACCTTCCTGCCTGTCCCCTGTAGGCACCCAGGAAGCAGGGCCCATGTCCCCAGCACCCACCATAGGGCTGGTATCTAGTAGGTGCTAGATAAATGCTTCTTGACTACGTGGCTTGAGGCAAACCATCAGCAGCTGCAGGAGCCCCGGGAAGCTAGGCTGCAGGGGATGAAGTGGCCCCAGAGCCGCGGAGCGACCTGGCCTGGCCCCCACCCCTGCGCACTTCCCCTCACCTGGAGCACAATGGCCGGCACCGAGAAGATCATGGCTTCATTGAACACTGGGTTGGGGTCGTCCCTCTTCACAGCCGTCCTCTTTTTGCTCATCTTCCTCCCATCCTGCAGTAGGTACACCTTGACGTAGGGGTCTGGGTGGACGAGGGGGTGGAGGTGAGGGCCAGGGCCACACTTCCCGGACACAGCCCTGCCCATCGCCGTGGCCCACTAGCTCTAAACTGCCCAAACCTTCACGATTGCCATTATCGCCTGCAGTCCTGCCACTGGTCCTTTATTTCCTACTTGATAGATGAGAAAGCTGAGGCTCACGCGCCCTTCACGATTGCCATTATCGCCTGCAGTCCTGCCACTTCCTATTTGATAGATGAGAAAGCTGAGGCTCACGCGAAGAGGAGAACAGCTGGGCTTTGGACACGGGCAGTGTGCCTCCCAGCCCAGAAGCGTGTTCCTCTCGCACGACGCTCAGGGGACTTGGCAGACCCACCACTTTTCCTTCTATAAATGGTCGGAGCGCAGCCATCAGATGAGTCACCCGGCACCTGCTCAGCAGGGTTTGACTCAACGATGTGGGGCTCTGAAATAACAAGTCTCCGTCTGTCCTCACCTACCGCCCACTGGGGATCCTTGCTGCACCTGCCTGGACCCCGGGTTCTCCCAGGCTCCGGGTGGTTGGGCTCCCCAGTCCTCTGTCATCTGTTACCTGGGGCTGGAGGCTCCTGCAGACCCGGGGCATTGGGTCCTGCCTGGCATGCACACCATCCCAGTGGCCCTCGCCCCCATTTGTGATCTGGAATGCGGCCCAGCCTCTGGGCACGGAGCCTCCACCATGAACTGCAGGTGGGAGGTGGGTGCCCACCTTGGCTCCTTCCCAGTGCCCCAGCCTTCTGCTCTCAGATTCCCATCTCTCTCCCTGTAGGGGCTCCCTGCCTCCCTCTGTGGTTCCCGTGTTTCCCCAGCTAGACGAGTCTTCCCGCTGTGCCCGGCTCCTGAGCTCAGCCAGAGCTGGAGGTGGGGAGCCTGGCGCCGTGCCCCAAACCCACAGATGTATCCAGGTGCCCAGGGCTTAGCAGCTGGACCACAGGCACCACCAGCCCCATGGAGGAGCCAGGCAGCCAGCTGGGCCTTACCCGCTGTGGTCTTGTCGCTGGTCCAGATGAGATTCTTGGCCTTCACCACGACCACGGTGAGGCGTTCGGCCGTGGGGAGGTAGCTGAGGGACAGCAGGATCTCGCCTACAGAGTCGGCGGCCTGCAGGGCGGGCAGGTGGCTTAGAGGGCTTCTGTCCCCTGACAGGTCCAGGGAAAGTCAGAAGCTTCCTTCTCCACCGAGAAGCTGCTGTTCTTGGGGCCCCTCCTACTAGGGCACTCGACTGCTGGCATTGGGAAAGGGCCCCTCCCCACTCCATGAAGCAGGCACCATCCCTCCCTCCCTCCCACCACTGTGGGACCTGCCTTGGAAGGAAGGCCGGAGGTTGCCTGTCAAATGCAGCATCCACATGCAGTTACGTGGCCAAGGGGAACATTCCGTGGCAGGGGCGCATGGATCGTTTATGTAGTAGATCATTTGCTTAAATAACAGTAATGCTCCCAAGCACATCCACTCTTACATGGACAAAGGTAAACTTCAGCTTGGCCTCTGTCTGAAACACCTCACGTCAGGGCCAGGGGAGTACTCCCCTCACAGAAGCCCTGTAGGGGTAGAGCTTCTACAGGTTGGGAGGCAGGAGCAGTAGAAGAGCTGTAAACAGTGGTCAGGGTGTTTCTCATTTGCATGCAGTGAACGGAGCCTCCGTGAATGTGGCTCAGGTCTCTTTCTCTCATTTCCTAAAGACGCTGGTGTTTGGGGAGCTGGAGAGGACAATGGGGTCCCTCCTCTGGAGCGTGCGTGTGTGACACTCCCTGCGAGGGTGGACGGGTGGGCGGACTTACCTTGTTCTGATCCTGTAAGTAGAGCCAGCCGCTGAAGGGCTGCAGCGGAAGGTCAAGTACGGAAAGCTTCAGCTCCACCACGCCCGTGCTGACGTTCCGCTCATCCTCGTCAATGCCGAAAACCGAAAACCGCAGGCTCTTCTCCTCCAGGGCAGCAGGGTCCAGGGGGGTGGAGAACTTCTCGTCGAAGAAGATGGAGTAGGCGTTCCTCTGGATCTGCAGAGAGAAAGGGCCGTGGAGGGCGCGTCAAGGTGGGGAGGGGGTGGCAGCCAGGGTCCTGTAGGCCATGGCAGGGGGAGAGCACTGGATGGAGAGTCTGGTACCTAGGCTAGAGTCCTGGCTCTGCTGTCCCCACAACCCCAATGCTAATCCTTCTTTGGGTGGCTCAGCTGTGATGGTTTCAAAGCCCCCTCTTGTCCCCTCAGTGGGGGCCGATCTATTAGTCTGGCATTGAAAGCTCACATAATCTGACCCCAACGAAGTCCCAACCCCAGTGGCCATGGCTCCATAGAACCCTCACGATGCATCAGCTGAGCCGGTCTCCGTTGTTCTTGCATGTGTCCAAGTCTAGCTCTGGGCCACGTGCAGTGAGTATGGATAATTGTGGAGTCCAGAGCCATTGATGTCCCAGCCCCCAGAGCTGCCTGAACGTTGTGGGATGGACAGATGGATGGAATGACTAGGGGAGGTTGCACTGACTTAGTTTCCAAGCTCAGTCCTGCCTGGTGGGTTCCATTGGTCTCCTCCCAGGAAGCTGTGGGCAGGCCCCTGGGAAGGTGCACTTGTGGGCACTGCTCCTCTTCCGTGGGAAGCTGCCTTAGTCACTGCCTGGTGATATTTAAAGAGAGGAGCCCTCATTCCTGGTACCTTGCCTGAAGCTGGGGGGGCTGCCCAGCCTGCGGCAGCCACCCACTCACTGGGATCGGCTGGGCTGGGATGTAAGAAGCCTGCCTTCTTGGGAATAAATCTACCAGCACCTCCAGGTTCCCTGAACCACACTCTTGGATGACTGCCTGGGCTGTGGGCAGGCTCCTCTCACTCTGCTCTCTGGGAGCCATGCTTCCTACCCAATCGCTTGCTTGAGAACTGAGGGCTCCTTCTCCGCTCTCTCCCGCTCTGGGGGAGAAAGCCTACCTCTGGATCCTGACCTCAGCATTCAGGGTCTTCATGATCTTCAGTTACGTCTCTCCTTCCTTTGGCCAAACTAGCCTCTTGGCTGTCCCCTGTCCTCCCTATAGTCATCACCTCGGGCTCTGGGGTCAGCATCCAAACCCGCTCTCCAGCGCCCTCCTCAGATCCTGCCTGGCTCTGTAGACCGTCCTGTAAGGTGGGGGCGGGGGGGGGGGACTGGGGGGGGGGGACTGAGGGCCTGAACACACTTCTGCTCCACCCTGCAGCTCCCACTTACCCGGGAAATGCCTACGATCTGCTCCTCGGGCAGCAGGCTGATGCGCATGAAGCAGGACTCGAAGCTGGTTTCCTCCCGCTCCAGGAGGTCCTTCCCCTGCAGCACAGCCACGTGGAGGGTGTGGGAGGCGGCGTCGTAGTCCATGCTCACCTCCACCTGGCCCAGCGTGAAGTCCTGTCCAAAGGTATTGCTCACGGAGGAGATGGAGTTGACGGAGTCCACTGACTGGGACTTCCGGAGGGTCCCGTAGGGGGCCAGGTCCAGCTCCCGGCCCATCAGCTCCAGGGGCCCCAGCTCGCTGATGGTCTCAAAGGTGTCCTCCATGCTGAGGCTGCCTTTGCGACTGGGTGGTCCCCGAGTGCTGGCCCGACGGGTACTCCAGGCAGGCACTCTCTGCAGGTGAGAAAAGGGGGCAGGGGAGCATCACAAGGGCAATGGTGTTGAGAGGGCAAAGAGGTGCGGCAATCCCTGCTCATCCAAGGCACCTCCAGGTTCCCCTTCTGCAAAAACGGGGCGTGTCTGAGTTCAGAGGGCCCCCGTTTTATGTCATTCACATCACTCAGTGCTCTCTGTCACCAGGATGCAAGAGAGCATTTTCTCAAAATGTTTATTTGTAAAGACCGTGTTCCCTACATAGAGATGTGCACTGCAGTGATGTTTATAAAAAGGAAAGAGAGTTAGCAATCTCAGTGTCCAGATCAGCTACTCGATAGCTGATCAAGCAGCCTCGAAGGAAGTTTTCAAAAATGTCTGCAACATGAGAAAACTTTCATGTTGGGTAACACTCACCCTAATATTCAAATTTTCTTTCGTCTAAATTGACCTCAATATTCGAGAAGACAGAAGCCTCTGTACCACAAGCATCTCCCCTGTTGCTGCATAGTCTCCATGACCACAATTTTAATGCCCCCCCAAATTTCCCACTGAGCAGATAGCCATAATTTATTTTACAATTCCCCCACTATTAAGCATTTATGTTGTTTCTCTTTTTTTTCACAACTATAAATAATGCAGCCTTGAGTAGCTTTTGTAAAATCCTGACTTAGAGAATACAGCCCTTTTGAAAGCGTTTGACACTTGTCACCAAAATGCTCTTTGAAAATGTTGTGCCAGTTGACAGTTCCCCCAACAGAGTGACAGATAGTCCTTTCTGAAACCCCAAATGAGTCAGCATGTGGGACCCGGATCTGGGAACAGATTCTGGCTGTGCTCTCTGGTATCTACATCATGTCAGAAAAATTCTCTGCCAAGTACCAAGTGATGAAACATTCAGCAATATATACTGAGAGCCCTGTACATGTTTGTACTCCCTGATATGGTCATTCAAGATCTGGGCATCTATTCAAAGTACATAATACCAATGAAGACACAATTTTACCTATAAAACACTCATCACATCATTCATGATGGCATTTAGTAAATCATGGCAGATAAATAAAGAGAAATGTTACATAGATATTAACATGATATTTATAATGGCTGTTCCACAACATGGGAAAATGCTTCAGGTATAATTGAGATGAAAAGTATAAAATTCTAGCCCAGCTGGTGTGGCTCAGTGGTTGAGCATCGACCTATGAACCAGGAGATCATGGTTCGATTCCCGGTCAGGGCACATGCCCGAGTTGCGGACTCGATCCCCAGTGTGGGGCGGGCAGGAGGCAGTGGATCAATGATTCTCATCATTGATGTTTCTATCTCTCTCTCTTCCTTCCTCTCTGAAATCAATACAAATATATTTAAAAAAATAAAATTCTAAGTAGAAACGACACTCATTGTGTAAAGACTATGCATGGAAAAAAGACTAGGTGCGGGGGGTTAGATGAAAATATTGGAGCCCTAGCTGGTTCGGCTCAGTGGATAGAGCATTGGCCTGTGGACTGAAGGGTCCCGGGTTCGATTCCGGTCAAGGGCACATGCCCAGGTTGCGGGCTCGATCCCCAGTGGGGGGCATGCAAGAGGCAGCTGATCAATGATTCTCTCTCATCATTGATGTGTCTATCTCTCTCTACCTCTCCCTTCCTCTCTGAAATCAATTAAAAAATATTAAGAAAAGATTTAAAAAAAGCAACGTGGCTGTACTATTAAAAAAAAAAGAAAACATTGGAAATAAATAAATAAAAATGCTAATAATTAAAAAAACGGTTAACTCTTGCTTGCCTCAGGGTGGTGGCATTTGGGAAAGAGGTTTTTCTTCTTACAGTGGGGCCTTGACTTCCGAGTTTAATTCATTCCGTGACCAAGCTCGTTTAGGAGCTTCTTAAAGAGCTCGTTAACTCAAATTACTCTGTCAACTCAATGCAAAAAATCGGCCAGAGAGACAGCTGGTATCTCAAAAAACTCGTTAGTCGGGACACTCGTAAGTCAAGGCCCCACTGTATTTTAATAAGCACTGCCTTTATAATTATTCACAGTCTGTATATACATTTTATGAGACGCACTATATTTTTCACAGGATGGTTTTTAAAATTGAAACCATTCATTCATTTATTCATTTAACAAGTATTCATGGATTCATTCAACAAGTAGGCACTGGGCTAGGCTGGAGATATGAAACAGGACCAGGGCCCTGTTCACAGGAGGAAATTAACCAGGAGGGAACGAGGTGGAGAGGGAGTGGAGGTTGATCCTGAGAGTGGACAGTGGGGGCGTGGGGCACACAGCTCCGTGTGCACCTACAAGAGGGGAAGCCTCGAGAGTCCTTAAAACCACAGGAGGAGGGGTATGCAAGAATGTAGCCTTGAAAGTAGCTCATCTTGTCTTGCAGTTTGAACAGAAGGGCTATTTGAATCAGAGGAGCTAACCCTCTTGGGGTTTAATTACCAGGTGCTGCTCATAAATTGTGGAAGGTTACTACAAGGAAAAGGAGGCCCTTTTCTTGTCCGCACACTCACAAGTGTTATTGGTGTAATTAGCTAGTTATTAACAGTGTTAATAAAAGGAAAAAGAGCAGGGAAGTCAGAAATGGTTGAGCATGTTCAGCTGGGAAGGAGAGGCCTGTTTGTTTCACCAGCTTCACATTGAGCAGCGGTTCTCAACCTGTGTGTCGCGACCCCTTTGGCGGTCCAACGACCCTTTCACAGGGGTTGCCTAAGACCATCCTGCATATCAGATATTTACATGGCGATTCATAACAGTAGCAACATTACAGTTATGAAGTAGCAACGAAAATAATTTTATGGTTGGGTCACAACATGAGGAACTGTATTTAAAGGGCCCGAAGGTTGAGAACCACTGACATCGAGGGAATTGTAGCATTGTCCCTCCGAGGGGATGAACACTCTCTCCCCCCCTCCAGTACTGGATTGTTGGGGGGTGGAGGGGGAGCTAGGCATATGCACAGAAGTCAGGGTGGTGCAGGGGAAGTGCTTGCCTGTCAGTCTAGCTCCGGGAACAATGGATTTTCTAGGAGGGGGTCCCCCCCCCAAAAAAAAACAAGAGCAGAAGCCTCACCTTCTGCCTGGCCTCTGCGTAGGTCTCGCCATACTTCTGCTGAAGGTACCTGTAGTTGTAGTTGGGGAATGGGGAGGGGCTGGGGAAGCTACCCGATGTCCAGAGCTTCCACAGGCTCACAGCGGCGATCCCCAGCAGCGCGAGGGCCCCCGCGGCGTAGACACCCACCTCCCAGTCAGGTGGGCTCTTGATGACTACAAGGCAAAAGCAGCCTCTCGTTAGTGGGCCCCGGGGCCCCTCTGTGGTTACAGACCCCACCCGGGGAGCAGGTGGTTTAGCACTGACTTACTCCCTCACTGAATGCATAGTTACTGAGTGCCTGCTGTGTGGTGGGCTAGGGGCTAGGTGCTGGGGGTCATGTTAATAAGAAGACACTCTTCTGTGGTTTCTGCTTTTATCCTCTTTCCCACAAAAACTACCATGAGTGACACTTGACTAGAACAGGTGAAGAGCTGTGGTTAACTATTCATTAGGCTTTAAACAAATAGGTTTGTTCTTGCCTCTATGAGTTCTCAGACCTCACCCTTTAGAGGACCTCTGGCTTGCAGATAATCAAAGCAGCTTTTTGGGGTTTGGGGAAAAAAGGAAAGGGATTTGGGGGACAAAAAATGATCCCATTTTTACCTCAAACCTCACCTAGAACAACATAGTGTCCATTAATGGATGAATGGGTAAATAAAATATAGTATATCTATGCAATGGAATAATATTCAGCAATAAAAAAGAATGAAGTACTGCCCTGGCCAGTGTGGCTCAGTTGGTTGGAGTACCATCCTGTGTACCAAAGGGTCTCAGGTTCAGTTCCTGGTCAGGGCACATATCCAGGTTGCAGGTTTGAGGGCGTGTGCAGGAAGCAACTGATCAATGTTTCTCTCTCTCTCCCACTCTCCCTTTCTCAAGTCAATTTAAAAAAAAATACCTTTAAAGGAATGATATACTGTTATATATTACAACATGGATGAACCTTGAAATCATCATGTTAAGTGAAACAAGCCAGATACGAAAGACCATATGTTGTATGATTCTATTTATATGTCCAAAACAGGCAAATCTATATAGGCAGAAAATAGATTAGTGATTGTCAGGGGTTAGGGGAGTAGAGAGGAATGTGGAATGTGGGGTTTCTTTTGGCATGATGAATATACTCCAAAAATTGATTGTGCCAACTTTAGCCAGAATTTATGCTAAACATATTCTGGAGAAGGGCGGGGCCCCGCCTGCAGCCCTGGCAGTATCCAGCACTTAGCACCCTATGTGCTCTCTACCTCTACTTTCTAGAGGAGACCTGAGGCGGAGGCAAAAGAACACACCTATCTATGGGCTCAAGGCCACAGGGGTGGGAAGTCCAGGTCACCTAGCCCAGTGGTCGGCAAACTCATTAGTCAACAGAGCCAAATATCAACAGTACAACGACTGAAATTTCTTTTGAGAGCCAAATTTTTTAAACTTAAACTATATAGGTAGGTAAACTGTTATTAACTTAATTAGGGTACTCCTAAGGCTTAGGAAGAGCCACACTCAAGGGGCCAAAGAGCCACATATGGCTCGCGAGCCGCAGTTTGCCGAGCACGGACCTAGCCTCTCTGGGCCCAGTCTCATCCGGAAAAAGATGGCCCCCAAACATCCCCATCCAGTGGTGCCACCCAGGGAATTTATTCTCAGGGAAACGTCCCCACAAGTTTCTCTTGGGTGTGAGTCACCGGGCTGTATTTATAACAGCAGCCATCTGGAAACAGCCTGGAGGTCTGACCCCGGCCTTAGGAGGGACTGGCCCTGGCCTTTGAGGATGACAAGGATGTCACTGTGGTGATGTAGAGAGAAATGTAAAGAGAAAAACATCAATCCCCAACATGGTATAACAACATGGTTTTGATGTAAAAATCACACATCAAATGGCTAAGGCCTGGGCGGACTAGGGAGGGATGAGAAGAGCAAGAAATAAGGATGCAAGAGCTGGGAGCAAACACTATTTACTTCTGACTTCTGTTGCTGGAATGTAATTTGTGGTCTAAATGAGGCCACAGCAAGGATCTACAGCGGGGCTCCAGGGCCAGTCCTGCTGAGGTCAAGGGAGGTCAAGGTAGTCCGTGGAGGCTGGTGAGTGGGGGGATGGGATGGGAATGTACCTGCTTAATTGCAGAGTGAGAGGCATACGTGAGGGGCTCCTGCTGAGACATGCACAGTAGGGCCTGGATGTTGGTAGGGGCAGGTCAGTGGGTGGGCACAGGCAATGGGCACAGCAAGGTGGCCAAGCAGAGCCAGACTGGGAGTGAGGAACCCAGGGAAAGGAGGGACTGAAGCCGGAGCCCTGGTGGACGGAGGGCATGAAAGGAAAAGCCTCAACTGAGACTCATTTGTTTATTCATATCCTGGGTGCCAGCCTTAGGACGCTATGGAAGAATTCCCAAGGGAGGAGAGGTCTAGGTTGAGACCAGAAATAAGGACCAGGAGGAGGTGGAGTTCTAACAGGTTCCCTTCTATTTCCTATTTGCCTGACTCTGTTCCAAGCACTTCATGTGTATTAACCCACTGGGTCCTCAGAACAACTGTGTGAGGGAGGTTCTACTATTATCCCCATTTTACAGACGAGGAAGCTGAGGGACAGAGGAGATATCCACTGTCAATCTTGCTGCAGATCTGTGCTTGTAACCTCCACAGCACATCCGAGGACTCAGCCAGGGAGAGGCAGGAAGTGCTCCAGGCAAAGGGAACAGCATGTGCAAAGACCTGGAGTTGGGGGAGAGTTATGTTTCCACTGTGTTGGGCACTTTGCACAGGTTAGCTCACTGAGTCTTCCCAGCAGTCCTTGAGGCAGGCCTCACGGACTAAGTAAACGGAGGCTCAGAAAGGTTCCATCACTTGCTCCAGGCCATGCCAAGACCTGGGAGCCTGCCGGTGAGAATCCCTGGCGGTGGTTGGGAAAGGTGGTTCCTGTGCACAGCTCAGCCCTGGGCTGGAGGCCGCGCTAGGGCAGGAGCTGAGTGATGGGAGCAGTCAGGAGACCTGGGCTCATGTCCTGACCCTGTTCCTTACTCACTGACCCTTTCCCTCCTGAGTCTCCCTTTCCCCATCTGCAAACGGGGACAGTAACATAAGGAGAGGAGATGGGGAGAAGTGGGTCTGGTGTCACGTGACCCCATCCTCAAGCTCGGTGCCTGCCAGGGCGCACAGGGAAGGCGAGAGCTGCATCCCAGGTACTTGCCGTCCCTGGTCTGGGCGATCTCTGAGTTGAATGTCCTGTGGATCTCACGTCAACCTTCCTGGGTTTCCTCTCACGTGGCTACTTGAGAGGCTCCAGGAACGGCCCTGGCAAGTGGATTCTGTGTCACAGGCTCATCTTTAGGGAGCAGCGGGACATGGGCCTTCTGGGGGACCCCCTCGAGTCAAAGGAGGGAGACACTTCCACAGAGGAAGCCACTGGAGCAAAAAGATGAAGAGATTTCAGACTGGTCCCAGCCCTGTGTCCTCAAGGCTATGTGACCTTGGGCAAGTCACTGATGGGTCTTCCCAGTAAAACAGGGCCGTGATGGGCGTCCCACTGACACCCGCACCCCAGGCCTGGCGGGAGGGTCCTGTGAGACGGCATGCTAGCGCTGGGACTCACCGCTCAGGTGGTGTTCCACCACGTCCACGGCCATGGTGCCCGCTGCGGTAGCTGAAACTAGAAGGGAAAAGAGAGTCAGAGGAGAGGGCTTCCGTGGGCCCCTGACCCCAACCCTGTGCCCCGGCCTGCTGGTGCCCTTGGGCCTGTCATCCAGAGCTCACACTGAGCCGTGAGCAGGGCCTGGGCAAAAGTAGGTGGTTTTTATTTTATTTTTTTGAATAGCCATTTTAAAAATTGTTATTATTATTATTAATTTTTGAAAGACCTAGTTGGCTTTATTCAACAATTCATGAATTGGGCAGCATCCCATCAAGTAAATAGAAAGTGCTCCTTATTCTTATTTTTTAATCGTCATCCAAGGATATATTTTTATCGATTTAGAGAGAAAGGAAGGGAGAGACAGAGAGCGAGAAACATCGATGTGAGAGAAACATAGATCTGTTGCCTCCAGTATGCACCCGGACCAGGGATGGAATCCACAACTTCGGTACGTGCCCTGACCAGGAGTCCACTCACCACAGCCTTTTGGTTTATGGGATGGCGCTCCTTCCAACGGAGCCGCCCAACTAGGGCAATTTTTAAAAATGGTGTCTGGAGTTTTCTTTAAGCAGGCAAAGACTTCACCTCAGGGTTGCCAGATAAAACACAAGATGCCCAGTGACATTTGAATTTCAGAGTAATTTTTACTATAAATATGTCCAAATATTGGAACCTACTTACACTAAACATGCGTTGTTTATTTGAAATGCAGAAGTTGTGTTTGCTAACTCTGGCACCCCTGCCGCACCCCCACCCTGCCAACACCAGGCTGACCAGCACCGACTCTGTTGCTCATTAGAGCAGTTCCTCCCTGGGGTGCTCACTAGGCAGTAAGATGGACCGCATATGTGCAAGTGGTCCCATCAGATTATAATGGAGCTGAAATTCCTACCACCTAGTGACTTCATAGCTGCCATAATGTCATAGCACAGCGAGTTATAATTGGCTACAGTACTCAGTACAGTAACATGCTGTATAGGTTTGTCGTCAGGAGGCCATAGGTTGGACCACACAGCCTAGGTGTGCAGGAGGCTAGAGCGTCTAGGTTTGTGTAAGTGCACCCTGTGTTGTTTGCACAACGAAGACATCGCCTAACGACGCATTTCCAATCATTAAGTGACGCACGACTGCACTTCCAATGCTTTTGTTTAAGCTGGAAAAGGAAGGCTCCATCTCCACAATATCCTATTCCCCGTCCTTCCCCTCCCCATTCCACCCTCCAAGGTCTAGAGAAGCTCATACAAGCCATTACCTGAACCCAGGGCCTGCTCATGGTTTTATTATTGTTGTTGCTAAGAAGCACATTTGCTCACAGACATATTCTAAATGGGGTGGTGGTGGTGGAAAGGCGAGGCCGGGATGAATTGTATGGGTCTCAGTTCAAGGGACACGGAAAGACAGGACAAGCCCCACCCAGCGTTTGTGTCCCTCTTGGCTCAAAGAGGTAGCACAGACAGGTGAGGTGGGATAAACAGGGGTGTGGGGGTGAGAACTGTGGAGTGCTTGCCGATTAAGGGATCGAGTGCTTTTCTGTTCCCGGGAATGCCAACCCAACATGGCTGGAACTTCTGGCTCTTTAAAGACAAGCCTGGATAGTTTATGTAGTTTCTTGATTTTTAAATGTTGCACCAATTCACAAAAACGTACACACCACTCAGGCACAGTGTGAATAAAAAGCTGCTTGACCGTGGCTGGCCTGTTGGTAACCCCTCCAAGCATTCTGTGGGCCCCCATTGGGACTGAGGTCCAATCAGAGGGTGAACATTTTCCTGGGCATTTTACAGAATCCTGAGGTTCTTCCCAGTCGGTGGCTTTGGGGCCAAGAAGTTGAGGTGCCTCGATCCAAGTAGGGTTATCCAGAACATACGGGAGTGCCTCCAGTCCCAGGCGGGAGGACTCAAGAAGCAGGGCCGAGCGGGGGCCCAGGGAGAAGCCTCCTTGTCCCCAGCTCCCCTGCTGATGCCCCCACTCCCTGCGATGCGGTTGTCATGGTGATGGGAGGGCGGTGCTGACTCAAAGTGGAAGCTCATTCCTGGGACCTGGGCTGGAGATCATGATAATGATAGCAAACCCTGCCAAGCACTCCTTATACCCAAGCACAGCCCTAAGCACTTTGCATATATATTACTTATTTAATCCTCTAGCAACCCCACAGGTAGGTACTATTACCATCTCTGGTTTGCAGAGGAGAGTCCTGAGGCATGAAGGTAAGGTTGTTTGTCCCAGCCACATAGTAAGAAACTGTTCAATCCAGGCCATCTGGCTCCACGCTCTACCTCTTACCAACTTGCAGGAGGGCACATGGTTTCAAAAGTCTCCTGAGAACTTGCACACCCAATAGGACACTGTGTCAAAGGCCAAGGTGGCCCTAGTTCCTGGCAGAAGGGAGTCTGGGCGTACCGAAACACATGTTAACGTGAGCACACCGGTCCCAGCCTGCCTCTGCCCTGCTGGGGATCCAATAACGCCAGTGGCTTTCCTTCCTGCTCACCTGGCACAAGCTGACTTTGTGAGAGTGGGGCCGGCCGTACTGGGATGGCCAATGCCAGCAGCGTGGGCTGGGGATGTCCCTGCCGCAGGTACACATGGTTGGGGACAGAATCTGCTGTCAGATCTCTGGCTGTCCATGGGCTCCCATTCCTCTAAGGCTGGTCCAGCTCAGACCCCAGACCCCCACACTGCGTACCTTTCTTCTCCCCCCTCCCTCACAACCCCCTCCTCCCTTTGCCTGGGATCTGTGATTTCAGTGAAGGTGTGAAGGACCCCAGGCCCACCAGGCCAGCAGTTCCCACAGTGCCAGAGCACAGCTGCCCCTCACTAGCTCAGAGTCTCGGTTGTCCTATTGGTAAAACAGGGCTCCTAACTGCCCTAGCCGGGTGCCAGGAGGGTGGAATGCGAAGGTAATGTGGTTGGGCTTGGTAAACATGGGCTACAGTGGTCTTGGCCTGGCCATTTGTGCCAAAGGCCCTCCTGCCCCTCTTTTGAGCTGTGGAATCTCATGGGCAGCATGGCCAGCCTGCAGATGTGTTTCATTTGTCTTAAAGTGACTCGTCAACATTTAAAAATTGGTAAATTTCCCATTAAACATTTATATCTTTAAAAAAAAAAAAAAAGCCCTGGCCGGCTTGGCTCAGTGGATAGAGGGTTGGCCTGCGAACTGAAGGGTCCCAGGTTTGATTCCGGCCAAGGGCACATGCCTGGGTTGCGGGTTCAATCCCTGGTGGGGGGCGTGCAGGAGGCAGCCAATCAATGATTCTCTCTCATCATTGATGTTTCTATCTCTCTCTCCTTCTCCCTTCCTCTCTGAAATCAATAAAGAAATATATTTAAAAGAAAAATGTTGGATTTCTTACGTGTACACCATATGGACAAATAATCTTAAATGCTAATCTCCTGATTTGATTGGTGTCCCCCACCCACCTGGTTCTTCCGTTATTTAAAAGAAAGAAAGAAAGAAAGAAAGAAAGAAAGAAAGAAAGAAAGAAAGAAAGAAATTCTAGCTTCCTGTTAAGAGTTAGATCTGGGGCTAGCAGGTCTATAGCCCCTGTAATCCCCGAAGACAGCCCGAGCTGGAGCTGAGTAGGCTCTGCCCCTTCAGACAGGGCACTTGCTCAGCAGGCCTCGACCTCGCTTCCCGCCATTCGCTGCCAGACCTGAGGGCTCCTGGAAACATCTCCGTTCAGGAGCCTGGTGAGCAGGTCTTCAGATGAGCTCGGGGAGGTTCAGGAAGGTTAAGTGCGTTGCCCAGAGCCAGCAGTGGTGGAGCTGGGCCTGGCAGCCATGCCTGCCACCTGGTCCAGTGCCTCTTCTATTAGTAGCCACAGCCCCTGTGCCAAGGACTTCACCACCCCCAAGACCCCTAGGGAGCACATCCTATTATTAACCCCACTGCACAGAGGAGGACAGCGAGGCTCAGAGAAGGGCAGTGGATTAGCCCAAAGTCACATAACCCGTCAGCAGAGAACAGAGACCGAGCCAGATCTGGCTCTGCCTCAAGCACCCTTCTTAATGGCAGTACTCACTGTGCCCGAGACCCCCTGGCTCCATCCATTTCACTGTGCCTGGACAACCCCAGCAGGCTCCCGCTGGCAGCCTGGCGGTCTGCCAGGCAGAGGGGCTGCGGCTTTGGCTCAGAACAGGATGCTGAAAAGGCATATCCAAGGCCAGGGCAGCCTGTGACCAGAGCTCCCCCAGCTTCTGACACACAGGAAATGGGGCTCAACAGGGGCGAGGGGGGAGCCAGAGCTGTCCCAAACCCGCATCTGAGTTCCTCAGGTCATGTCTCCTTCCTGGCACCGCTCCCCACCCAATCTATTCATTCCAGCTCCAAGGCCCCAAACCCTAACCTGCATGGAGCGTGCTCATTAAAAACAGCTCAATGTTCAAAACCAGGCTTAATCGTACCTACCTGGCAATACCTATCTAATGCTCTAAGAATCAGACACAATAGATGCTAAATTCTTACCACCGTGCCTGGCCCGTAGTAGGCACACAATATAGATCTGATGATTGGATGGATAAATGGACCCCCATTTGAAGGATGAAGAAGCTGGGGCCCCTGGTCACTCAGCATCTGAGTAACAACACTGGGATTGGTGCCAAGGTGCAATGGATCTGGGCTTGGGCTCTTGGCCACCATGCCACATCCTGACTAGGCTTTTCGGGGGTGGAGGTGGGTGGGAAGAACTTCCACTGGCCTTGCAGAATCTGACCACAGTCAAGGCCCCCTCCTGAGCTAGTCAGAGAAATGGCTTTCCAGGAATTTTGTGCCTTTGCAGGGGCATGGGGGCCCCATGGCTCCGCTCCTCCCACCCCGTTTCCTTGCTCATTGTGTCTCCGATCACAGCTCTGGTCAGCAAGGTGTTCGCTCCCCGTCCCCTCACCCTGAAGCCAGCAGGTCATGGGGAAGATGGGGGCTCCCAGGCTGAGAAACTCCGTAGGTTTGAGGTCCTTTTCAAGTGCTCCCATTTTCTGAGAGAACCACATCCGACTACTCATCCTCCCCAAAGCCCACAGAAACCATAGCGCAGATGGCTAGGGTGGTGGTGGCTGGCATTTGCTGGACACCACTAGGGCTTGCCAAACCCTCCCTGCTGCCCTTTGAGGGGGCTGCAACTTGGCCCATTGTGTGGGTAAGAAAACGGAGGTGCAGGAAATGACCTGCCCACAGGCACCAGAGCTGATAAGAGGCAGAGTGGAGGCTTGGACCCCAGGCTGGGAGCCCCCATTCTCCCAGGCTGACTTGGGAAAGATTTCATCTTGGGGAGGTGGGGGCTGGCTAAGTTACCTGGAGTGGATCGCAGGCCTGGTCTGCGTGAGCCTCAGTTTCCCCATTTTTAGTAGGAAGCACAACGGCTGCCCTCTCTCTGAACCTGTCTCCTCCGGGTGGGGGAAGGGCTGACGCTCCAAGTGCGGGTTTCCCAGGAGCTCTGGGTGGGGATGGCCTCCCTGACTGAAGAGGGGGGCTCGCCGTCCCTCTCAGCCCCTGGAAGGGGGGTCACCAGGTTATCTGGTTCAGGGTTCCTCCACGCAACAGGCCTGGCCCCAGGCTCTCAAGTTCCACCCCACCCCCAGCCCATCTTCATCCCAAATCCACGGTCTGTCGGGCAAGTTCCCTCCACCAAAGAGCAGCGGAGTCCAAGGTTCCGAGGGGCCCCTGGGAGCCCCAGACACAGGCGGGTGACATGGGCGGCTGAGGCTCCTTCCCTGGGCTCCGGGGCCTCCAGGCGACAAGGTGCGACATGCCTCTTAGCGTTGGGGCACTTCCTGAAGAGCCCGCACCCCTGCCTCGGGAACCCCCAGGGGGTATGAGGAGGGGCGTGTGGGGAGCAGCGGGGACAGCCAGGGTGCTGTGAACGTGAGCGCGGTGTGCGTGCAGCGCGGGCGCCGGGGAGGCGTGTAAATGGCCGGGGAGCCGCG